GCAGCGTTCTCGCCTCAGCGTTCGCCTGGGGCGCGGAGGCCACACCCACCGCCCACACGGGATTTGCGACTCCAAAACCTTAGGATTTTAATAAGAAATTTATCTTTATAAATAATCTTATACATTTTTGTCATTTCCATAAATTGCTCTTTCTCCTCTTTAACAACAAATTGTTTCATATATTCTTTTTTTTCTACTGCGTCACGCTCAGTAAAGTTACAGATCCTAATTTAGATTACGTAAGTGAGCAATGTTAAAATTCACAGCTCCTTGACTCTTCTAATTTGTTTATAATAATTACAAAGGTAGAGAGATGAGAGCGAAGGCCGCCGGGAAGCCCGGGCGGCACCTCTCGCCAGTCTCACATGGAATGGCTGGATCAGCGGCTGTACGCTGCACTCACGCCAGCGCTCCGGCACCGGCGTGTCTCTAGAGGGTCCTAGAGGTGTTCTAGAGGGTCCTGGTGCAGCTAGTGAGACTACGGGGGAGGGGCTGGCTCACCCCGCCACGGGTGTCCGCTGAGCCACGGCCCCGCGCCCGCCCTCGGCCCTCGCGCGCCTGCCGGCACCGTTGCCGCGAAGCCTCTTACAACTAATGCTTCACACACATATATAAAATTATATCTTTCATAATTATTGTAATAATATTAATAAACTATCAATAAATACGAAACAATGCCATTTGTCATTCACATTCACAAATATAATGATATCAAACACGAGAGAGAAAGCGCATTTGACCTTGACTAGCTACGTAACTGAGTGGTTTGTGACAGGTGTGAGGCGGCGGCGGCAGAGCAGCGCGCGCGCGCGTCAGGCGAGAGGCGGCCATTGGGGCTATGGGGGAGGGGGAGGGGAGGGGTCGCGCGGCTGCTGGGGAAGGTCCCCTGCTCGCGGCAGAGGTCGTGGCGGGGGTCGTCCTGGGGTCTGAGGCAGACAAGAGGCGTGTGCAGCGCGGTCGAGTGCGGTACACACTGACAGTTGGTCGACTTCTGGTGATGAGGGGGTCAGGGACTCGTAGAAACTTTACGTTATCTAAGACTAAACATTGTGGCAATACCTTAATAATAATTTAAAACGTGTTTTATCACCATATACTACAGTATGATTAAAAATCAATGACATGCCATATGAAAACAATAAATAAATGCTTGGCACACATTCGACTAGACTTGAGGCCATACATGCCTCTCACAACTAGACAGTACATGGGACTAAAATATTAACGCTTACAAAGCCCTACAGACGTATGATAATATGTCTTTTACAAAACCCTGTGGAAGCCAATGGTAGCTTCATTTCATGAAGATCAGAAGGAAGCATAAGAAAATACTTTCAATTCTAGGAAACATCTAAAGCTTCGAGATAGAAATATTAAATATTTACCGACATTTACTATCTGATGCATCCAAGAACTTGTAGATAAGATTATAAAATTCAGAGTATCTACAGAACAACACCTCTATGTATACATAGCAGTAGATAACTATTTCTTTGTCATTACAGTAGTCTAAACCTAGAGATAAGCTCAACCCTATGATTGATCCGTCATGTACTGAAGGTGGAGTATTCATAAAAATATCATTTTCAGTTAATCGACTAAAATATCAAGCCTTTTCCACGTGTTAGCCTCTATATCAAGTGATCCAGTCAAACAGTATAAAATGGTACGCATGTATACAATACTTCAGTTATCACAGTCACATTTCTGGTTCCAGGTGGAGCAATCCGATGGTGTCGATGCTTGAGCAAACAAGGTTGGCGCAGGGGGTCAGGCAAGGTGGGGAGTAGCGGCCGCCCTGAAGGGATTAACTGAAAATGTTGTACACTGACCTACACAACTGAGTGGGGCTCGGTCCACAGCGCTCGTGCTACCTGCATCTACTCCGCTCGGCTGCCGGCCGAACCCCACGTACACCGAGAGTATAAAGTGGTAACTGTCGTAACGTGTGTTCGCTGAGGGCGCCTCCCAGTCACGCCACCGTGGCCGACCCGCCCCTCCACCGCTTGTCTCCAGTGGGCCACGCTGCCACCACCACCCACGCCCACGCGAATCCTGCTACCTCGTGACCAACACCTGAGGGACCAACACCCGCTAACCACCAACTAGACTTGTACCACCAAACATTTTATGAGTATTACTATCATTAGTATATCTTCTATATGACTGGTATCTAGAATGTGGAAAATTACATGTTCATAAAGACAACATTAGAGGTGTTGGCACGAGTGGTAGAGGTAGGTGGTGGCGCAGTGGTGGTGAGGGGCGCGGGTAGCTGGTGGTGCTGCTGAAGACCTGGCCAGACACCGGGTGCTGCATGGGAGGCTGGGCTGATGGTGGCCAGCTGCACTATGGGCCGCTCCTGAGGGGGGTCCTGGGGGGGCCCCGGCGGTAGAGAGCGGCTGCGACGCTAGTGGGTGGTCGCATCAGTGGATAGGGGCACGCACGATGTGGTTGGGTGCCACGTAGTGATACCCCACGCCCGCCATGCCCAGTCCTGCTGTCTCCATCGCTATCCTGGAACACACACCCACGTCACACACCACACCGCTGGCAGGACCTTACAGCGTTAGCCTCCTAATCGACACTTAACATGGCAACCGTGCGAACTGTGCGGGCTTAATCTCCTCGTTTAATTATGATAAGTAATTAAAGAAACATTCTCTTTAATGGCAAAGTAAAAAGGAAAAAAAATAATAGTTAGTCCTGTGGAGGCGACATGATACACCCGTTCCCGCCCTTCTTCCCTGGCTCAGCCTATTTGTGATCCTAGCATCTCCCTTCCAGGACTCTAGTCTCTTCCATCATCTTGGTATTGAACTTTTGTCACCAGAAACACCTCTTTAATTAATCTCTTCACTGTGACTTCCAAACTTTCAGTGGTTAATAACAATTATAAGAATAAAAGAAATGTTAGGATTTTAGTAATTGAAATTTTAGAAGCTTGTATCTTTTAGTTGTGAATAGTCTTCGATCAGTATGGATATGGCCAGTCAATAGCAACGGTTCTCTTAGCATGACTGAGTACAATTTCTTCCCCACGTGCCTAAGTGACCAAGAGCGCCACTGGTGTTGTGGCTCACTCCTGGGTGGTGTTGAGGGTGTTTTGGTTGGGACTGGTATAGGAACAGTGGTTGTTTGGGGTAATGTTTAGTTTGGCCGTGAGGGAAGGTATGTGACAAGGTAGGTAGGGGGTTCCCCGCGGTGAGGACTTACCTGGCGGGGGTGAGAGCGCAGGTGCTCGGGCGCGATGTTCACCAGAAGGCTGGTTGGCTCAATGGCCACGCACATGTCCCTTTAGTGTTACATCTGTCCTAGGTTACTGCCGCTCCCTTCTACAAGGTGCCGCTCGTCGACCACACCAGGTGAGAGCTACATGCCAGTTATGAGGGGTCGACAAGGTATGTGTTGTAGAAGGGAGCTTTATTTTTTTCAAGGCAGGCAGGGTGGTGTTGAGGTGTCGGGCGGCGCCAGGTGGAGGCGGTAGTGGTGGTAGGAAGGTAGGAATCACCACGGGTCAGGATAGGATTGTAATGAAAGGCTTTATCTTCCTCAAACTTTACACTTGTTTAATATCTAGTGGAAGAAACATTCACATATTGAGCTTACGATTGAACACCAGTACTTCTAAAGAGACAATTAACTTATTGCAAAACTGTACATTCCATACATTATGATGAAAAAGGAAAACAGCTGAGTTTTGTACCCACATGTACTTTTCAATGAATTACTTAAAACACATTAAGTATGTAGTAGTAATTAATGCCATATCCTAAAGTGACTAAACCGAGCAACTACGGCACACGTGCTCAGCCTTTTGCGATGCTAAATTATGAGATAGACAGATAGAGAGGGAGAGACAGATAGAGAAAGACAGTGAGAGAGAGAGAAAGAGAGAGGCAGAGAAGAGAGAGGCGGTGAATCTGGTCACAGTGCCCAGCTTTCCTCCAAATCCCCAAGCCGCTTTGGGGCGAGGCACTCAGGGCCGCTCACCGTCTGTGCCCTAAATCATCAACTAATTCTTAAAAGCTTAGTATGTACATCTCTCGCTTCAATACTCTTTTACTATATTTTTGGGGTAATATTTTTTTGGGACTTGACAATTTTTAGTCTTTTCTTATATATATATATTTTTATATTAATTGTTAAAACGTGTGAATCTGAGACTGTCACCAGATGAACCATGACTAACAAACACAGTAACCATGCATGACGTTTACAGAGAACTCTAGGAAACTTGTGACAATGCAAACTTGCTTTCAGCTTCTTCTGCTTGATGCCGTTATAAAAAACAACAGGAAACAAAGAATCAATTGTCCTAACTGATATGTTTAGTTGAGAGGTGGCAGGTGGTCTGGGCTGGACTGAACAGCGGAGACCACCTTGTATAACAAGCAGCTGCTGGCCTAGTGACAGTGACCATCTGACACCAACACGCACAGGCCTCGCCACGCGCCCGCGCCCACCTCACATGGCTCGCGCCCCTGCCTGCTAGCGGGCTGGGCGAGCGCTGCGGGCGTGGGCGCCTCGTGTGCCGAGGGCTGTTCCTACTCAGATCTGAAAAGTGTGGCGCTCTCTGATCCCAGCGGCACGTGAGGGTGGCCCGCTCCCGCCGCCGGTAGCAGCGGGCGGCGAGGGCGGGCGCGGTGCCGCCGGGGTGAGGGGGCGCCGACACGCGGGAAAACTGAGTCCCCATGTATGTTGGGGCGCCACGGGGTTCATCAGGAGTGGAGGATGAGGACGCTCTGCGCCCGGAGAGGAGCGGGGCCCCCTGGGAGAGGATCAGGTCTAGTAGGGTGCGAACTTGCTGCGCTTGTTCTCCTTGGGGGTGCCATTAGTGGGCTGGTGGGCGGAGGCTTGGGCGCGGAGCTTGGGTTGGTAGGCCTTGTTGTGCCTGTGGGCAGCCGCAATACCGGCCAGGCCCTGGGAGGAGTCTGGGGCGAGCAGGGAGGTGAGGGAGGACAGGCCCTGCAGGCCGGTCAGGGAGGACAAGGCGTTCAGGGCTTGCGGGTTCTTGAGCAGCTGGGCCAGGGGGATGGCACTGGGGCTCAGCCCACCCGACCCGGTCGACCCGCCCTTACTTACTTCAAGCTGCGCCTTGTGCAGTTCCATGCTGGGGGAGATAAGGGGCCGCAACGTTATCACTGGCACACTACGCCGCCACACCGCCCACACACCCGCCCAGCACCCTCACACCAGCTCCCACCCACGCTCAAGTCCACTACATGTACTGCTGCTGACTACGTGCTTACACTCCCCAGGCCGCACGGCGCGGGCAGTGCTCGCCGCCGACGCCAGGGCGGGGCAGGCGAAGGCCGGCCCGGCGGCGTCGGCACCTGAGCGAGAGCTAGAAGACTTGAGCGTGGGCAAGGCAAGCGGCGGGGGCGTGGGGGGGCGGTGCGGGGGCGCGCGCGGCGAGACCAGAGGAAAGGGATGAGATAAGCCATGTTATCGCTTCATGGAGGTACGATGCTCCATTGGATTACTGGATTATCACTTGGATTTTTGGAATAATGGATAAGGACGTCCCCTGACAGGTTGTGGAAACTACTACTGTACAATGACCAAATGACAAGAGCACATACTGGAGTGACATGTAAGGGACAACCTGGCAGTGAGACGACCATGTAAGGATAGCTGACACATCGGGATATGACTGGGTATGAAAGAATGAGAAAAAGCTTTCAAGAATTCTGAATACATAGACTAGGATTTTCTTGTGTTGGATCATTGTGCTATATTCAGCTATGTTGGAAAATTGCAGATATTTAATAAAATTCAAACAAAAAATACAATGTGTTGAAAACTAGTGTTACGCAAAGAGCTGTAAAGAAAGAAAGAGTGAGAAGCAGAATTCATGGTTAACGAAACAGTTCACACCAGAGTACTGAACAGAATAAGAAAATAATAAAAGAGACTTTTTATCGCAGAAGCCTAGCGGACAGGACGACCATTAGTGGTATGACTGATGAATGTTAGCTTAATTCTGATCTGCTGTCACTCTGGAAGAACTGAAATAAGCAGGATCTGAGCACAAGCAAAGAACAACTACAGGGGACTTGGTATAACGCCCGCACTCGCCAATGCATCACACAGTGAACTTTCTCTTTGCAATACAAAGACATTGAACGAAGCGATGGTTCTGACACAGCCAGGCAAGGCAAGGAAGTGTTGGCTTGCCGTCCGTGCCTGGCGGGTGCGGGCTCTAATGGAGTCAAATGAAGAGCGAGAGAACTAAAGGGACGAAACAGCAACCTGATGAAGAAGGTCCCACCACCCGGAAGGAAGGAGGCGCTCGGAGGGATCTCCGCAAGGGAGTGTCATGCAAGGGGAAGGGCGAGGGGACGAGGAACGAGAGGGGAGAGGAGAGGGGAAGGGGTGGATAACTGTATGTGAAGATAGATAAAAGAAGAGAAAGAAAAGAAAAGGTGGAGAATGAAAGAGAAATAAAGAGAGAGATGACACAACCACAAGTTCCCAGCAAGACAGGACAGACCCAGGACATTACGGGAGGGTATGAGGGGTGGGGGAGAGGTAATGGTGGAAAGGAAAATCGGGTACAACAACTTACCAAAAAGGGTCAAGGCCGGGGGCCGCCTCAAGCTAGGAGGTCCACCGGCCTGCCAACGCCAGCTGCAAAGGCGCTTGCAGCTAGGGCAGGCCGGTGGACGCAAGGGAAAGACACAGACCCCATTCCCACCACACAAGATGCCCAAAAGCATTCAAAGCGTCTAGGCTAATGTTCTGATAAACCGTTAACTGTGAGCCACAGAGATGAAAAGAATAATCTAATGTAAATGAAGCTTGACCGCTTGGCGCATAGTGTGTGGACAGGGCGGGGCAGGGCTCCCGGCCTGGACTCCCTTCTGCCACGGCTGTGGAGAGGTGATGTGTGGAGGTGGGCTTGCGATTGAGGCCCGATTGAGTGAGGACTTTTAAAGGACTTTGAAGGATCAGAGGTAAAGGACAAGGGACTTACCACGCGAGAATGGAACTGCACTTTTGGCGTCGATAATTGATAATAATAATAAATAATAAATAAATAATATTGATAATCATAGTAACGATATCAATAATAAATAATCATAATGCTCTTTTCAGTAATCATAATAAAATAAATAAACATAAATAAAAATAATATGAAGGAAATATAGTGGCAAGACCTGAAGCCAGTCGTTATAAGGTTAAGGAATACTGAGGTTTTGGTCAACGTTTTTGCTTTTGTTTATTGATTTAGCTCATTTATGGTTGCTTGAATGGAGGGAGCAGAGGCATGCAGGCCCCTGTCCGTTTCTTGTGTACCAGAACGATGTTAACCAGTACATACCTTCAGTCCTTACGGGCGCTGGGACCTCACAGTACTGTGGAAATAGACCCACACGCGTCAACACATGACCAGTGGGCGGTTGTGCCGCGAAAAGTTTGCCATCACCCACACATTATCAACAAGTTTGCGATGCAAGGACAAAACAACTAGACCTTTTATTCTGATTTTACTGACGCAAAAATGAAATCTTTTTTCCTCTGTCTTCCCTTCGTATGCAGGAGTGAATGGTTTACAACATAGATTCTCTGGGCAAAGCACAACCCTCCACTTGGTGTAGGAAGTTAGCCTAGTCCTGTGGATGTGTTACATAGACCGAGTAACATGAGGCAAGAGAAGTGTCTGGGTGGTGGAGTGGAGTGGCGCAGAGGGGGGGCGGAGGAGCTGGGGTTGAGGGCCGGGCTTTTACCTGGTGTTGATGAGGTACTGCGCGAGAGCCACCTGGTCAGCGTTACCCTTGATAGTGATGGTTCGGTCTTGCTTGCTTGCGTCTTCTGAACCGTCATCATATTTGCTAATGGTGATCATGGCGCCTGTGATTTGCCTGAAAGTTATGTCCACAGTCAGTGTCCGATTCGACGGCAGCCACACGCACAAGTACGGGCATGCTGAACATTTAAATACACGGGTTTGCTACTTATGTGTTTAGGAAGAGAACCATTCATATGACATGCATACTGTCTTATTACACAAGGAATTACTATACAATTACCGACTTATCCTAAATAAATATATGCAAATATGAAATGCACAGACAAATGCAGCGCGGTCACTCCAAAGAAGAGCAACGCTCTCCAGGTGCGCCGGCGGGCGACGCCGGCGGGCATCGCTGCGGCCGATACTCACCTGATCTCGGCGATCTTCGTGCCTCCCTTGCCGATGATGCAGCCTATGAGCTCGTTGGGCACCGTCATCTCGTGAGTCTGTGAGCCGGGACCCGATCCTGCGGGGGTCCTCAGCTGCGAGCCAGCGAGGGCCGCCAAGGCTGCATCAGGGGGGGAGGAGAGCAAAAAATTAACATTCGAAGGTCTAGTACCAAGGAAAGAACATAAGAATAGGAGGGAAATGACACCTGGCGGCACCAACTACAATCACGTGAGCTTATCCACACATGACTGCTTATAATGTGTGGTGATGCAGAGTTGGTGCCGACAGGCGGTGCCAAAATCAAGTAAAGTCATGAGGTTGGTGGTCGCTGAATCGGGGGAGGTGGGGGTGGGGTGTTTGGTGCAAGTGCCGGGGGCGGCCACATGGCCCGAGTGAGCGGCAACTGCAACCTGTCTAGAGGCTCTTGACTTCAAAATCTCCAAACATAACATGTTAGATCTCCCAAAGTGAGAACGAGAGCAAAGAAAAAGGAGACAGAAAGAAATAAAGAAAGAACGAGAGAAGGACCCCTGGCACGGGTTGAGTCTTAAATCTCGTATTAACAATTTCTTTGTTTTGTTCGAACGAAAACATCGAAGAAATTTCCTATTAACTAAACGTAACACATAACGAGACCATGTGGATACTTTGCACTTGGAGACGAGCCAGTGTGCGTGCAAGAGAGTATCCCTGTGAAAGTGGCATGTGCGTGCTCAGCGACGAGACCAAGTGTCCCTAAATTCCCTTCTGCAGCGCCTGTCACACTAGCACTCTTTTTTTTATATTGGGAACTTTACACTTTACATTCACGGAAATGTTGTTGCGATAAATGGCTCAAACTTGCGCGTCACTGAAACGGCACATCATGAATGCAGCCACACAAGCTCCTGGACAGAATCAAATATTGTAAAAAACTAAAGGAAATGCCTAGTATTTCATGCATATTTTTTCTTAATCTGTTGCCGAATAATTTGGAGCATCATCGAGAGGAAATGATCAGTTCCCTTGGGCAGCGAGGCCGTTGCTCTGGTCCGCTGCCGCTTAGGTCTTTGATCCTGGAGGAGGGGCGCGGCGGTCGTGCGCTTGGGACCCGTGCGGCGAGGACGGAGGTGGGTGTCGAGGGGCGGAGGGAAGAGTGAAGGGCTCGCCAGTGTGCACGTAAACGGGCTGGGGTAACCACGGCCGCCATTTTCACGCTGCCTTGCATCAGTGTGCGCGCCTCTCGGGGCTGCGTGCGTCGCGTGGCGGGGCAGGTCAGCACAAAAATTTGGCACAGGTACATCTAATTCCCCCTGCGCTCGAATGCCAAATATTTGCTAATTTCAGACCCCTGTGGCCCTTCTAATTGTCCGAGAGGCGAGCATGTATACCATGCTCGGGTGTCAACCTACCTGGCACTCCTCACTCGCCCGGGAGCTAAACAAGGGGATGCCACCGCTCGGGCACCGCGCAACAATAGGTCACGCTGAGGCTTACCGCTATTTACAGACAGCAACACCTTAAGGTAGCCGGTCTCGCAGACGAACTGTGCTTAACCCTTACACGACAGCAACACGTTTCCGTAACTAATGCTAGGCGCGTCTGAGCTGCCTTCTCTGTACGCGTTAGAGCGAACCCGGAACATTGTCAGATACGCAAGACATACCACCCGCTGTCTCAGAAATCCAACTGATAACGGTGAGTCAACCTATCAAATGTACCCTTTTAAACAAGCAGTAAAACAAATCTAATAAACAGACAAAAGTAAACGAATAAATACAGTCTTCTCTGTAACTCTCATTAGAAACGAGTGGCTTGTTTCGCGTACAT